GAACCAAGCCATGGTATTTTCAATAACCTCATATGCATGTAAAATTTGGACAGTGAGTAAGGAAGACTGTAGAAGAATTGATGCATTTGAGTTATGGCATTTGAGGAGATTATTAAAAGTGCCACAGAGTGCCAAAAGAACAAATAAATTTGTGTTGGAAGAAGTACAACCAGAGTGCTCCTTGGAAGCCAGGGTGGCCAAACTTCATCTTTCATATTTTGGACTTGTTGTCAGGAGGGACACTGGAGAAGGACACCATGTTTGGTAAAGTGGAAGGTCAGAGAAAATGAGGAAGACTCCAGAAAAATGGATTGGCACAGTGGTGGCAGCGATGGGCTCAGGCATAACAATGATTGTGAGGTTGGCCCAGGACTGGGCGGTGTTTCGTTCTGTTGTGCATAGGGTCACTATGAGTCAGTACTAACTTGATGGCACCTAACAACAACAGATGATGAAATTGAAGAATCCTACCAATATCTTATGTCTGAAATTGATCAAACATGTAATCAATATACATTGATAATTACTGGTGAGTGGAATACGAAAGTTGGAAACAACGAGGAACTGTAATTGGAAAATATGGCCTTGTTGATAGAAATTATACTGTAGATCGCATGACATAATTTTGCAAGACCAGCAATTTATTCATTGCAAATAGCTTTTATAAAAAAAAACAAACACATGGGACTCACCAGATCAAATTTGCAAGAATCCAGCTGATCTGACTACATCTGTGGGAAGAGAAGGCAAAGATGCTTCATATCATCAGCCAGAACAAGGCCAGGGGCCGACTGTAGAATCGACTATCAATTGCTCTTAATCAAACTCAGGGTGAAGCAGAAGTTAATTAAAACATTTGTATGAGAGCAAAAATATGACCTTGAATACATCCCGCCTGAATTTAGAGATCATCTCTAGAACAGATTTGATACATTAGACACTAATGACTGCAAACCAGAAGATCTGTGGGACGACATCAAGAACATTTTACAGGAAGAAAGCAAAAGGTCCTTAAAAAGACAGGAAAGAAAGAAAAGATCAAAATAGATGTCAGAAGAAATTCTGAAACTTGCTTTTCAGTGTAAGAAACTAAAGTAAATGGAAGAAGTGAGAAGGCAAAATAGCTAAAGAAAAAAATTCAAAGGGCAGCTTGAGAAGACAAAGTCATGTATGCCAATAAAACATGGAAAGACCTAGAGTTAGAAAATCAAAAGGGAAAAAAAGTACTCAGCATTGCTCAAGCTGAAACAACTGAAGAAAAACATTCGAGCCTCAACCTGCAGTCTTAAAGGGGTCTCTGGGCAACCTATTAGGTGATTAAGAAAGGATCAAAGAAAATGGAGGGAATACAGAGTCATTGTACCAAAAATAATGAGTCAATGTTCAACTATTTCAAGAGGTATCATCTGATCAAGAACTGATGGTACCGAAGGAAGAAGTCCAAGCTGCTCTGAAGGCATGGTGAAAAACAAGATTTCAGTAATTGACAGAAAACAAATTGAAATCTTTCAACAAACTAATGCTGCACCGGAGGCCCTCACTCATTTATATCAAGAAATGTGGAAGACAGCTTACCTGGTCAACTGATTGGAAGAGATCCATTCCAAAGAGAGGTGACTTAACAGAATGCATAACTCATTGAACAATATCATATGCAAGTCAGATTTTGCTGTAGATAATTTAACAATGGTTGCAACTGTTCATTGACAGGAAACTGCCAGAAATTCAAGGTGGGTTCCAAAGAGGATGTGGAACTAGGGCTATTATTGTTGAAATCAGATGGATCTTGGCTAAAAGTAGTGAAGACCAGAAAGCTGTTTACTTGTGCTATATTGACTATATGAAGGGATTTGACTGTGAATCACGACAAACTATGGATAACATTGTGAAGAATGGGTATTCCAGACCACTTAATTGTATTTATGAGGAGTCCAATTGTTAGAAAACAACAAGGGGATACTGAATGGTATAAAATCATGAAAGGTGTATACCAGGGTTGTGTCCTTTCATTATAGCCCTGAGAAAATCACCCAAGAAGCTGAATTATATAAAGAAAAATATGGTACCAGAATTGAATGACCCATTAACAACCTGATTGTTGTTGTTGTTGTTAAGTGCCGTCGAGTCAGTTCCGACCCATAGCGACCCTGTATAGGGTTTCCGAGAGTGTAAATCTTTACGGGAGTAGAAAGCCTGATCTTTCTCCGGCGGAGAAGCTGGTAGTTTCGAACCACTGACCTTAAGGTTCGCAGCCCGATTCGTAACCACTACGCTACCAGAGCTCCTTATATATGTAGATAAATGCTAGCTGGAAGCAAAGAGGCTGTGAAATACTGATGAAGATCAAACATTGCAGTCTTCAATATGGACTGCACCTCAATTTAAAGAAAACAAGAAACCTCACAATTGGACCAATAAAAAAAAATATGATAAATGGAAAAAAGATTGAAGCTGCCAAAAATGTCATTTTGCTTGGCTCCACTATCAACATTCATGGCAGCAGTAGTCAAGAAATCAAATGATGTATTACATTAGGCAATCTGCTATAAAAGACGTCTTTGAAGTGTTCAAGAGCAAAGATATGAATTTGAGGACTAAGGTGCCCCTGACCCAAGCCATGGTATTTCAATAACATCTGTGAACAGAGATGATTTTACTTATTCTGTTCCAATCTGGACACCTATTATTTCATTCTGTTGCCTTATTGTTCTGGCTAATACTTCTCATAAAATACTGAATAAAAGTGGTGAGAGAATGAATCCTTCTCCTGTTCATAATTTCAAATAAAAATCTCTCAATATTTCTCCATTAAGTATAAAGTTGATTGTTGGCTTTCTATATATGCCCTGAATCATACTGTGGGTTTCCTTTTTATTTAGCAGTTGACTAAAATGCTTCTTCTGTATCCATACAAGTGATCATGTGGTTCTTTTTCTGTATTTTATTGATGTTGTGTATTATACTGATTGGAGCCCTGATGTGGCACTACGGGTTAATGCGCTGGACCGCAAGGTCAATTTCAACCCCAAGGTCAGCAGTGCTCCTCAGAAACCTTATACTGGGTCACTATGGGTTGGAACTGACTCGATAGCACTTAACAACAAATATGCTGATTTATCTCCTAATGTTAAATCATTAAAAGTTGAACGTTAAGCCCATTATGATCTCAATATTTGATTGACTCTCTCTTAGTTAGATAATATGTATTATGTTATGGTAGTGATGAAGCTGTCCATAGTAACCTTGTATAGGGTTTTCTGAGGCTGTAAACCTTTGCAGAAGCAGAAAGTCACATCTCTCTCCCTCAGAGCATCTGGTGTGCTCTAATTACTCACGTGTGGTAAGCAACCTGACTCATAACCCACCATGCCACCAGCGTTCCTTCTATCGTATAATAGAATCCCACCAAAAACAGTAGCTCTTCTTTATTTCCTTGAACACCTAGCTGATAAAGTACTAGCAGTTATTTTTGAAAAGGCATAAACACTAAATAATCATTTCAAAACTAACTTTGGAGTCAGAAGAGTTTGGCCATGGTTCTGCCTGTCACATTGGCTATTGGGAAATGACTGAAACACTCAGGGAGAGTCATTAGCACCAACCATTGATGGAAATACCATAAGCACACAATCCAGAAAGTGATCTAGCCAGTTAACACTAGGGACACTATGACTAAAAGGGAACAGTTATTGCAATTAGATGGCATTTTGTTAACATTCCGTGTGGTGGTCCTTAATTTATTTTAATAATTCTTTACAAAAGGATTACATGGAAAGGTCCTCAGAGGTATTTGCTGTGGCACTGTGGGCTAATGGCACTGGATGGCAAGGTTGGTTTGAACCCCAAGGTGGCAGTTCAAATTCACCAGCTGCTCCTCAGACACCCTACACAGGGTTGTTATAAGTCAGAGCTGAGTCAATGTTGCTTACCAACAAACAACAACATAACAATATTATTTCCTTTTCTTCTTTTGGGATATCTGGATGAGGCTATGAAGTAATGGCCACACATAATTTATCTCACTATTAGATCTGTTAGAAAACCAATGATGCTTCATTCAAGCATTTGAGCTGACATATTTGCATCTCCAGTCCTGACTTGCTTTGAACATTGAAACAAAGCAAGGTTATTAATGAGATACAATTTAAGAATATCATTTATTGTTAAGTACTATTGAATCTTCCTGACTTATAGCGACTCTGTATAGGGTTTCCAAGGAGCAGCTGATGAGTTTGAAGTGCTGGCCTTATGGTTCACAGTCCAGTGCTGGTCCTACAGCGCCACACAAGGAGTCCTAAGAGTATCAGTAATGGATGGAAATGTTAGCTGTTTGGAGGATTCCATGGAATTTGTATTGTTTTGTTAACACTTCATGCACTTTGATTGAATCTTTAGGCAACACCATTAGCTTGTTAGCAATGATGATACTGGTTGGAGATAGCCTGCATAATTTTGCAGATGGTCTAATGATAGGAGCAGCCTTCTCATCATCATCAGAGTCGGGAGTGACCACAACAATTTCTATCTTGTGTCACGAAATTCCACATGAAATGGGTAAGTCTGGCAGTGGAATTTGTTTTCTACTTGTTAGGAAAGTCATGATATCTTTGTAGCTAGTGTTAGTAGGCTTCTTTTTCAGAAATATGGTTGAAAGATGAATACTTAACTGTTTATAATGTATTTAAACCATAGTAAGAGGAGTAGAGTAAAAAAATCTCAGCATAGGATATAATGAGATTATTTTACAAAATTTCCCAGGGTCAGAAGTGACTGGTCTTTGGGGGGCATGGGGGGAGACTTGTTGGGGGTGGGTGGAGGTATATAGCATTCTGTAGAGAGAAAGCCATTCAGAGAAACTTCATTTTAAAGAAATTTGGCAAGGCCCTCAAAATCTGTGTATGAAATGTGGGAAAAACATTAAGAGGAGAACTTAACCCATTAGGTCAGCAAGCAAACCAATGAGATAAAATAACATTTAAATTAAAACCCAGCCATGGTTTCATCAACCTGATTTACACAAAGTGTTTACAGCCAAGCATAAAATTGAAATGACAGGCGTATGGTAGAAGATGCATATATGGCTCTTTTTCAGGATAATTTTAATAACCCTGTAATTTAAATCCATCTCCCAGAAATCAAGATGGGATAGAAGTGACATTTCTGAAGCAGACCCAGAACAAGTAGAAACCAGCCCAGACATTCACTGAGATTTAGGGAGAGGCCTTTCAGAGTCACTCTCTCTGCTTCTACTTTCAGGCCTACATTACCAGTGGGGCATTCTTGCCACACACTTCCCTTTCTCCTAGTATCCATTGCTCTAAGTCCTTCTCTGTCTCACCATTGATCCATCCTTTGTGGAACAATTATTCAAGAACCTTCTTAAATACATTACAATATATTTGTGTGGTTACCGTATTTGTGGAGCTCTGGTGTGGTGCTGTGGGTTACTGTGCTGGATTGCAACGTCAATTTGAACCACAAGTTCAGAAATTCAGGCCCATCACCTCTCCTCAAAAACCCTATACAGGGCTGCTATGAGTCAGAATTGACTCGATGACACTTAACAACAACAACCGTATTTGTAGGCTCCTGTTTTTAGCTATTATTATAATGCTGTAAGCCTGATTCTCAGCTGAACACCACAGTATAGTGTGAAAGTATGTGACAGGCCAATGAACAAGATGTTTAAGAACTGTTCATCGGACCAGTTATGCAGTGGAACTAAGCAGTGGAATTCCTGGCTATTTATTTTCAACCACATCTCAATCTTCAAAACTTTAAGCCATAGAGGTTCTATGATTTATGAATAGGTCATTCTTATTTTGGAGGAAAGATGTGGATAGAATAATATTTTCCTAAACTCATTAAGACAGTGAAATTATGCTGAGCAAACAATCCAAGAAACAGGATTATAGACGAATATGGCATTAGGATTGGAGGAAGACTCTTTAACAGCCTGTGATATGAAGATGATACAGTCTTGCTTGCTGAAAGAAAAGAGGACTTAAAATACTTACTGATGAAGATCAAAGACCATAGCCTCCATTATGGATTGCATCTCAATGTAAAGAAAACAAAAATCCTCACCACTGAGCCAATAAATAGCATCATGATAAATTGGGAAAAGATTGAAGTTGTCAAAGACTTCATTTTGCTTCTTTCCACCATCAGCACTCAATAGAAGCAGCAGTTAAGAATTAAACGACATATTGCATTAGGAAAACCTGCTTTTTAAAATGTTCAAGAGCAAGTTTGAAGGCTAAAGTGCGCCTGACCCAAGCCATGGTATTTTCAGTCATCTCACATGCATGTGAAAGTTGGACTATGAGTAAGGAGAACCATAGAAGAATTGATACATTTGAGTTATGGTGTCAGAGGAGAATATTAAAGGTCCCATGGATTGCCAGAACAACAAACAAATCTGTGTTGGAAGAAATACAACCAGAAAGCTCCTTAGAAGCCAGGATACCAGATTCAGCTATCTACTTCAGATATATTATCAAGAGGGACCTGTGTGGCTAGAGAAGGACATCATGCTTGGTGAAGTGGAGGGTCAGTGAAAAAGAGGGAGACGTCCAACAAGATGGATTGCTTCAGTAGCAGTAACAATGGGCTCAAGCATAACAGCAATTGTGAGGCTAGCACAGGATCGGGCAGTGTTTCATTCTGTTGCTCATAGGGTCACTATGGACCTGAATCGACTTGATGACACCTAACAACAACAATGTTCTTTTTCCTAGTCAACTTTTGCAATAATATTAAAATCTTTTACCAAGTAGGTTTCGGTTTTTTCCCCTTAAAGTACTTGCAACAGTAATTAGTAATGCCCATGCCGTGTCTATTGTCTCATGATACAACCAAGCAAATTTCCAAGTCAAAAGATTTACAAACTCTAGGGAAACAAGGGACTTTATTGTGGGGTTTTTTGTTGTTGCTGTTGTTGTTGTGTTTTTTTTAGTAGCTTAAAAAACCAAACACGAGTCAATTCCTATTCATGGTGACCTCTTGTGTGTCAGAGTTGAACTTGTACTCCATAGGGATTTCAATGGCTGATTACAAAAAAAAAAAAAATCTCCAGATCTTTCTTCCAAGGCAACTTTGAAAAGATCTGACCCTCCAATCTTTTGGTTAGCAGCTGAGAGAGTTCACTGCTTGCTCCACCTAGGGACACATAAGAGACAGAACACTTGAAATATAACTTTATAATAGTGTAATGAGTTGGCTGTGACTCCTGAAGAAATATAGGAAAGCACTTTATTAACCAATCATTCAACTTTACTTATGAAATTGGCTCCAGTTGCCAAAATGTAAGTTAATCTTGTGTGGATTGCTATGAGTCAGAACTGACTTAATGACACTTATCAACAACAACAATGTGGGATAAAGTCTTGGACAGCAAGGTCAGTTTGAGCCATAAGATCAGCAGTTCAAACTCGCCAGCTGCTCCTTGAAAACCCTATACAGGGTCGTTATGAGTCAGAACCAACTCAACAGCACTTAACAACAACAACAAAAATAGCATATGACTTTGCATCACCAATTAAAGATTAATTTTATTCTATTTTCATTAAACTGCAGGTGACTTTGCTGTGCTCTTAAATTCTGGCCTCTCTGTTAAGATTGCCATTCTGATGAATTTTATAAGTGCTCTAACAGCCTTCTTAGGACTTTACATTGGCCTTTCAGTATCGACTGATGCATGCGTTCAAAACTGGATCTTAACGGTTACTGCTGGGATGTTCTTATATTTATCCTTGGTGGAGATGGTAAGCTTTATGACTTTTCTATTTTCTAAGCATTGAAACTGTAAGCCAGAGAAAAAGCAACAAAATAAAAGGATTGCTACAGCAGAAGAATAGTAAAATATAGGTTATAATATAAAAAGATTAAGTAAATATTCTGTGTAATCTATGAGGGTATGTTGTAGACAGAACAATTTTTTGTTTTTTTTTAGTGAATTTAACTGGAATTAATGTTGCTATTGTTGTTGCTGTTATTAGGTGCCTTTGAATCCGTCCTGACTCATAGTGACACAATGCACAACAAAATGAAACACTGCCTGGTCCTACACCATGCTCACAATTATTGTTAAGCTTGAGCTCATTGCTGCTACCGCTCTGTCAATCCATTTCATTGGAGGTCGTCTTCTTTTTCATGAACTCTCCATTTTGCCAGTATGATGCCCTACTTTGGGAACTAACCCCTCCTGATAACATGCCTGAAGTCTGAGAGACAAAGTCTCACCATCCTAATTTAAAAAGAGCATTCTGGTTTTACTTCTTCCAACACAGATATGTATGTTCTTCTGGCAGTTCATGGTACTTTTAACATTCTCCTCACACACCATAATTAAAATGCTTCAATTCTACTGTCTTCCTTATTGATTGAATGGTTTTCGCATGCATATGAGGTGATTGAAACACATGGCTTGGGTCAGGCGCTCCTTAGTTCTCAAATTGATATCTTTGCTCTTTAACTCGTTAAAGAAGTCTTTTGCAGCAGATTTGCCTAATGTAATACATGTTTGGGTTCTTATTTGTTGCCTCTTTAAGTGTTGATTGTGGAGCCAAGTAAAATGAAGTCTTTGATAACTTCAGTATTTTCTCCATTTATCATGATGTTATTTATAGGTCAAGTTGTGAGGATTTTTGTTTTCTTTACGTTGAGGTGCAGTCCATACTGAAGGCTGTAGTCTTTGATCTTCATTAGTAATTATTTTAAGTCCTCTGCACTTTACGCAAGCGAGGTTGTAACATTTGCATATGTTGTTGTGGTTAAGTGTCATCGAGTTGGTTCTGACCCAAAGGGACCTTATGTAGGGTTTCCAAGGAACAGCTGTAGGTGCTGAACTGTAGACTTTGTGGTTCTCAGTCCAGGAGTCCTGCATATAGCATGTGGTTAATGAGTCTACCTTTAATCCTGATATTGCATTCTTTTTCATATAATTCACATTTTTTGGATTATTTGTTCAGCATACAGATTGAATAAGTATGGTGAAAGAATCCACCCCTGGCACACACCTTTCCTTATTTTAAACCATTCAGTATCCTCTTGTTCTGTTCTGTGCCTTGAGTTCTATGGACAGTTTCCTCATGAGTACAGTTGAGTGTTTTAGGATATCCGTTAATCACAATGTTGTCTGTAATTTATCATGATTAATTCACACAGTTGAAGGTTCTTTGCGTAGTCAATAAACCACAAATAGACATTTATCTGGTATTCTCTGCTTTCAACCAAGATCCTTCTGACATCAGCAACAATATCCCTCATTCTATGTTCTCTTCTGAATCTGAAATTAATTTCGGGTAGTTTCCTATTGATGTACTATGGAATCGTTTTCTAAATTATTGTAAGCAAAGTTTTGCTTCCGTGTGGTATTATGAATTTGTTCAATGATTCTGCATTCCGTTGGGTCACCTCTCTTTGGAATGGGTACAAAAAAAAGACCTTTTCCAATCAGTCCTCCAGGTAGCTCTCTCCGGAGCTGTTTTTGACATAGCTGAGTGAGGGCCTTCAGTGCTGCATTAGTTTGTTGAAAGATTTCTGTTTGTATTCCATCAATTCCTGGTTTTCACCAATGCCTTCAGTGCTTTTTGGACTTCTTCCTTTACTCTCATCAGTTCTTGATCATATGCAACTTCCTGAAATGGTTGAACACTGACTATTTCTTTTTGGTACCATGTCTCTCTGCATTTCTTCCATCTTCTTTTGATTTTTCTTTATCATTTAGTACTGTAAATTGGGGCTTGAATTTTTTCTTCAATTCTTTCAGCTTGAAAAATGACTTTTTATTTTGATTTTCTAACTCCAGGTCTTTGCACTTTTCATAAATAATACGTGAATTTGTTTTCTCAAACTGTTCTTTGCAATTTTCTGTTCAGCTCTCTTACTTCCTCATGCCTTTCATTCACTTTAGCTTCTCTACATTCATGATCAAGTTTCAGGGTCTCTTCTGACATCCATTTTGGTCTTTTCTTTCTTTCCTTTCTTTTTAATGACCCTTTGCTTTCTTCCTGTATGATATGCTTGATGTCATCCCACAACTTTTCTGTCATTAGTGTCTAATGCATTGCATCTGTTTTTGAGGTGGTCTCTAAATTCAGGTGAGATACATTCAAGGTCATATTTTGGTTCTCATGGACTTGTTTTAATTTTCCTCAGCTTCAGCCTGAGCTTGCATATGAGCAATTGATGATCTGTTCCACGGTCTGAAATTAATTAGAACGTTAGAAATGCCAAAAAGTGAACAATAACTCATTCTATTCATGCTTTATTGTATATTTGATACCTGTGTGAACTCCATACAGAGTTGCTATGAGTCAGAACGGACTCGACGGCACTTAACAACAACAACAACAATCCAGCTTAAAAATTCTGTTAAACAAATAGCTATTTTGTTTGCTGTTGTTGGTATGGCTCTTGCTATATGACATTGAGTTGGTTCTGACTAACGGTGACCCTGTATAGAGTTTCGGAGAGCAGCCATTCAGTGGCTTGAACCACTGAACTTGCTGTTACCAGTCCAATATGTATCATACAGTGCCACACTATAGGACTCCTATTTTGTTTATAACATGCAAGACAGTTTGACAGAATTCGTCAGTGTATAAAATCATTGTTTGACTTAATTAACTAAGTGTATTTGAAAGGATAATGATTTCATCTTTATGTTGTATTTCCAAAATTATCATGGTGTGTAAATGAGGAAGACTGTTACTATAGTATTAAGTCTCCAAACTTACAACATATAGCTCTTAAAGAGGTTCCTGCTGACACAAATAATAGCTCAGTTATTGTTTTCACTGTCTGTAATCCTGCAAAAGAATTGAATCTAGGAAATAGCAAACTTTTTTTGCCTATTAAGATTCTGATCTCTGCAATATAAGCCAGTGTTTTTTAGGGTCACCCTTTGTTGAACTTGTTTATACCTTAGTGTTGCAAAGTGAATCCTATAGTGATGATTCTTGTTGGAATAGAGCAAATAATAATGACATAAACAACAACAACAAAAAATTTAGCACTGAAAATGAATCTGAACAGAGGTAAAATGCATTATTACATGTATCATGAAGCAGATAAAATAAAATTGTAAAAATCTGCTCCATTAGAATTGGCTAATGTGGCAAAATACAGCTACTGTCTTGTAATAAATAAAAAGAGAACGTTTTACTAAGAAAAAAGAATCTGAAAGCAGGCACCAATGCTTACACAAGCAGATTAAGGACACTCAGGAAGTCGATTCCAATGAGTAGATTCTCAAAGGAAGTACAACTTTTTAAATCCCAGTGTTCATTCTTCTGACTTTCTGATTCTTTTCTAAATTCTCATGGAATCCATTCAAGGGGTTGAGAGAAGCATCCAATGTACTTCCATGTTTACAAATGTTCCTACAGACTACCTGAGACTCAAAAAATAAATCCCTAACCTTAATAGTGAAGATAACTTTAAAGTGGGGAAAAGGCTACCCTCCGTTCCTGAACCTATGGTTAAGGTTACAGAACCTTGCAACCCTTCCAGTCTGAGAAATCTGGATTTCTAGCCTTTTTTAACTTCAAAGACACACAAGCAGTAATCATTTAAGGATGTGAATTTCCCTTTGTTTAAAATGTGTGCAGATTAATCCTTGAATTCACCTTTGAGCCTCCTGGTTTTCAGTTTTCTATTTCTAATTTCTCTCTTCTTTATGGACATAGTTTCTGTATCCTTTTGAAGTATACGAAGTATTCTGGTTTTGCCACAGCCTGGATCTCGCTGCAAGTATGATGGATGTGTATTTATGTAATCAATCATTTTTGTTAGTTTCAGGGTCTATTTTTCCAAAAGTAATCTGGGGAGATTATCAAGAACCATTTGTCATATAGACCCTTAAACTAAATACATAATTTACCCCCTCATTGTTTTTAGAAAGCTACGTGGCTGAGATCCTATGGAATTCCAACCAGCATAAATCTTTGTCTTATTGCAAATTACTTGAGTAAGGAAAAACCAAAATCCTGGTAAGAAGATAGGAAAGAAAACATTGAGTTTCCTGGGGCTACTTTCTGTAGTCTAGGTCACCTGCTCACGGCCTTCTGAGTAACTTGTAAGCAAACATGGCTCTTTCTACATAGCAGCCAGTTTAACTGTTGCTGTACCCTGAGCCTATGCCAAAGAAAATAGCCTTTTTCATTCAAGGGGTAGAAAACAAGGTTTCATGACTCTATAAAACAGCAAAGAAAATAAATGACAGCAACTAAAGGGTAAAGGGGAAGACCTTAATCTACTGCTTACTAAACCCTGGAAATTTACTAGGCACCTCCTGATCTGGGTCAGTGTGAAAAGACTAGCTAGACTTTTGCTTTGTTTGTTTGTTTCAAAGAAATTGGATGTGCTATTTTAAACTCCTAAAAGAAGCAGATCTAGAGGCAATAATGAAGCCACTGGCAATGAGGTCAACAAGGAAAAGTCTTCTCTAGGAACTTGCCAGTGCTCCAAAGTAAAATCACCTTATCCAAGCATTCAAACTTCCAGTTGCATTGAATCATTTCTGAAGAAGTTAAGAATGAATGCAGCTTTGAGTTGCCAGAGGAAATTAATTCTCTTCTATAAAGATCAGTTTGCTAGACTGGGTTTCCCTCAGTGAGGAAGCTGAGACAAAGGCTTGTGTGAAGGCAGTTTGTTTAGGAGGTGATCCCAGAGAAACAGCATATCAAGGGCAAAAAGAAGAAAAGTCAATACAACAATGCATTTTCAGGCAGTCGACCCTCACCATGGGGGCTGCATCATA